AAAAGTAAGATTCGTCATTCTTAAAATTTGAGGTGGACAGATGATAATGATTGTGATCAAGACTTCTGAATTTTGATTCTTGTTTAAAAATTTAAAGTTACAGCATCAGTATCATCTCTTGTGGCAAACTCTAGTGGAGTTTGTATGAGGCTCAGAGAGCCAGATTTTGTATCTAATAGCTTGTGACCTCTGTGTGGTCATTTTGACAAAAATTATGGAAGTTTGAGTTTCCTAGGAATATAGGGAAGTAGTATTGAAAAAGTAGGATGTGCATGTGTACTGTGATACATGTTGGCGTAGGGATTACAGATGACAGAAGCAAGTTGCTTGACTTCAGATTAGCAGCGTTAAATATTTGTTGTAGGATGATTTCAAATACGTTTTTATTTCATAATGGAGTATTTCCTTTTTTGTCCGTAGAATACATTCTAAGACTCCCTCTAGTTTCCTGAAGTTTCAGACAGTAACAAGTCTAAGGGTGTCTGAAATTTTAGTTTGTAACAAATGTTATAATTTACCCGAGCACTGATGCTATAACTTTTGTGTTTTGTGTAAAATGGAAAAGTGAGCACTAATTTATTTTTCATTCCTCAGAACTTCCTGAGTTGAAGCTTCATTCTTACCATTGATTTTAGCAGATTATTTTTTTCTTTCCATACTAAGTTGAGAACTTTCCTTTTTCATCTAAAGGAAGTACTTTTTGGCTTCTTATTGGTATGTATGAATTTCCATCACCACTATTTTTGCACTTTGGGACCATTATTGAATGAAATATGAATGCCTTAACACAGTGCTGCCAAGTGGCGAGTGGGCAGGTGGTGGATTCGGTGTGGTACTGGGCAAAGGGAAGAGTCCTGTCCTGGTTGGGGCAGACAGGATGGGAAGGCACCAGATTTCACTACGCACGTTACAATGGTGTGAAATTTAAATTTTAGAACATTTTAATTCTGTAACTTGCCATTTTACATTTTTGGATTGTGTTCAGCTATAGGTAACTGTCAGAAAGCCAAAGCACGGTTCCACAGTGCTTCCAAATAGCCATGCAACTGGGGTGAGTGATAAACACGATTGACCATCCTTCCGAAAATCCAGGATTTGAGGTGCTCTATACTTGGATCCTTTCTGAACAGGAAAATGGCAGATGATACAGCTGAAGAGTTCCACACCCAGGAAACTTACTAAAATATCTTTTCAAAGTATATTTGCAACATATTGAATTTTGTGTTTGGACTTGTGTCTCATCCCCAGGATATCTCATTATATATATGCAAATATTCCCAAATCTGGGAAATTCTGAAATCTGAAATACTTCTTGTCCCAAGCATTTGGAGTAGGAGATATTCAATCTGTACTGTGTTTAGAGTAAAATCTTTTGTTTCTTTGTTTTAAAAAAAAATTTCTTCATAGACATGTGATTCACAAACTGAGGGACTGCCAAGCTCTTTTCAAGTTAGTTATTGAATCTGATTTTTATAAAGTGAATTTAAAAGGCCTCACCTTTCCCCTCTTTTCTCCCTCTCTATCCTCTTTCTTTTTCTCATTTATTGTTTTAGAGAATGACTTGAAGGTCAAAAGTACATCAGAAATAGTTTTATGTGTAGACCATTTTAGATTTCTTTCCTCTAATCTTGTCTTCCTGTTGCTTCCAAGATCTTATTTTGGTATAGCCATCAGTGAGCACCAAAGATAAATTCTGGCAGAAGACAGATAAGAGTGAGCTGCGTTGAACCAACAATATGATTGCTGATCATTCTAGCAAGATTCATGTAATTTTTTTTAAGAAAAAAATTGTCCTAAGTCATAATTACTAATTTTGTTTCAGTCTCATAATTTCAGGTTAGGTATCTTGAAAATAGTTTTTCATTGTGCTTTTCTTGGAGAAATGATAAGGTAGAAAATTAAATTCTCCTTTACCACAGTTTCAGTGTTAAAGAATGTTGTTAACGTAAAATCTTAACATCACTAAGAATATTTAAAACCATATGATGCACAGAGGGTGCAAAAGTGAATTTATATGCATTGAGTGTTGTGTGTTTCAAAATGTGGTGTGATTCCTCATGATTTTTAAAAAGGTGTTTGCAGTTTTTGCACTAAAGCAAAGTGAGAACGTAGTTGAGTTTCCTGTGTTAATGTGGAAATGTCCATTGCTTCTATAATAATCATGAAATACTTCTGCTTTTTATAACCTAATTATGTGGGTTTGCCAAGAAATCTGACCATCAGCTAAATAGCTGTTTTGGGGAGATAAAGCTGTACAGTCTCAGCTTACTTAGCGTGTTAGGAATTAGCTTCTTTCTCAAGGCATTGGGTGGCTTCTCGGTGATTTCTTCTTATTGAAATATAATTGGCTTGCAGTGAGGTGAGGTGGGGAGGAAGTCACTTTGCCTACTCTGGAAGAGATTTGCTTCCTAACCAGGATGCTTCTACCAGGGAATAACAAATTCATATGCATTTCCCAGCCTGAGTGGCTTTTGACACCTGATGATGTGGCAGTATATTTAGATGATAAGGAAAATCCCTGATCACGGCAGGAACATCTGTTTTTTTCTGGCAAGAGGGAAAGTTTCCCCTACCCTGTGCAGAGCTGAGTGACTGCTTGGGGCAGCCTCTTAAGTGAAAGATTAACATTGTAATTAAAAACAAAAAAGGAGAGTAATTCCTTACGGTATTTTTTCATACAGTATTCTAGATAAAGTGCTGGCTGAGCTGTAATAAACTATTTCTCATCACTAGCAAAAGTAGTAATCATTAGGGTTTTTAAATATTTGTCCTACTGTTAGATTTTTATAAGTCTATAAAAAGATTTCTGTTTTTACTTTGATGCTTACCATTGTACAAAATGGAATGGAGACATTAATTTGATCCCTGAGTGAAATAGATTTAAAATCACATTCTTGAATTTAGCAATACAGCTGTTACTTGTTGCAAAACTATGAGTGGCAATAAATTTGATGGCTTGGTTTCCCTTTATTTGAGTTATGAAATGTAGGATTGGAAATACATTTGATTTTAAAATTTTTACCTTTTCCCTTCAAAAAATTACAATTTTTATTGATACATGTTTATAGTACATGATATTTACATTTATTTTGGGGAATTGGTATCTATGTGTAACATATCTTTAGTTTTGACTTTTTGTAGCTATAGTTTGATCCCTAAGTGAGTGTGTACACTTGCATAAAAGAGTTTTTTTTTAACCTCTTTTTTTGCAATTCTGAGAATGGAACCTTGGGTGTTATACATGCTAGACCAGCACTGTACCACTAAACTCTGTCCCCAGCCCTTTTAATTTGACTCTTGTGACAGAGTCTCACTAATTTGCCCAGGCTGGCATTGAACTTACAATCCTCTTACCTCAGGCTTTTAAGTAGCTGGGGTTTGGGCAAAGCTAGCAAAATGACTGTATTTTGAAAATATTAACCCTAAGGGCTGGGATGCTGTTTAGTGGAAAGGTGCTTGCCTAATGCACAAGGCCCTCGGCTCCATCCTTGAGACCACAACAAGGAAACAAAAGACAAACCACTAAAACAAATTTTATTTTAAATGTCCAGTAGCCTCTTAATTTAAATGGGAAATAGTGACTACCCAAGCATGTGGTGTGATGCAGGAAATAATGTTGCCTGCTGTAGTGTTTCTGTTCACCACTTTTTGCGTCCATATTGGTTGTAATCAGATTAAGCAAGATTAGGTGGAGAAACATTGCTAAAGTGTTCTTGGTTACTGAATAGTACCTGCGTGTTCTATCAGAAAAATAATATGCTGCTCTTAAAGATTAAAATATATTTGCCGAAGTCAAGTATGGTGGCACACACCTGTAATCCCTGTAGTCAGGAGGGTGAGGCAGGAGGATTGTCATAAATCTGAAGCCAGGCTGGGCTACATAGTGAGTTCAAGGGCAGCCTGAGGCACATAGCAGGACCCTGTCTCAATTTTTATATATATTTAATTTCTTAATGATTTACAATTAGTATAATTTGTGGAATTTTCATTGCCTATAGATCATTGTATGGATTCATTATTGACTATGCCACAAATTAGGAAAACCATTTTATTATGAGTAATTAATGCCAGTATTATTTTCTTTATCCATTAGCTCCTGAAAACAGATTGTGTAAATATAAAATGATAGAGTTTTCCAGGTACAGTGCAAAAAGACAGATCTTTTGATTGTTGTTAACTATAGTCTGAATTATTCAGTGAGCTCTTGTCGTATGAACTACATGTCATAACTGACTTGAATGGAGACATGCTATTTTTAGATGTAATTAGAAGCAATCACATTTGCCACAAACATTATATTCTGTAGGTGTGACATTAAATTGAAGTTATAAATGTGTTAGTGTAAATCCAAAAATATGGGGGTTACAGTTCAGTGGAAATACTAGATAAACTGAAGTTTATTATGGTACCTCTTTAAAGCATTTCATTAATAATTTTTAAAATAACCCACTGGAGTGTTCTTTCAAAATTCCCGGATTCTAAAGTTATGTGCAATTAGAAATTACAAAGATTATTCAAGAAAATGCTGTCTATGTTGGTGTAGACCACTGTTGGGTTTTAAGGTGAATGATTATCTCTGCCCAGGGTTCCTCATTGTAGAGGAAATAGCAGTTTTAAAAATTAACTAAATTATAAGTTAAAAATCATATTTTCACTAAAATTAGAACACGATGGTAGTAAAAGGTTTGACTTGGTTAGCTCTGTTGAGGGTAAGGGGCTACTCCTGCGTGGAAGTGTATTTGAAGTGTGTTAGGTGTTTCTCAGACAGAATGTCACGGGGTGTCTCAGAACCAAAGAGTAAAGATCACTGGCCATGTGTGACAAGGGAAAACAGTTGTCTGACAGATGCTGTGGCCTGTGTGGGAGTTTGGAAAAACACTTTAAATATGTAGAGTCATTTTTCTGCTACTTTTGAAAAACCAGGTATACTGTTAATTTGGAAAGCAGAGGTTTTAAACAAGATGCTCTTTTTTTTTTTTTTTTTTTTTCTGTTTGAATAGAAAGATGAAAACTACAGAAGCCTGCCCAGGGATACCAGCAATTGGTCCACCCAGTTTCAGCGAGACAGTGCCCGCACCTCTCTGAGTGCCAGTCACCCCATGGTGGACAAGTGGTTGGAGAAACAAGAACAGGTAACGAAACAGACCCCATAGGCATCCTTGGTATGATATCTTCCTCGGGTGTTTCTCCCCGCATAGTGCTGACTAAAGTGGATTCTTACAGACTTCAGCTAGCACAGGCACAGGGCTGTGTCTGAGTTCATCTAATTTAAATGCAGAATATTTGTGTGCTGGTCCCGGATCAAAGATTTCTCATGAGTAGTTGTGAATATTTGCAGGAGATTTTCTGAAGCATCCCAATTTTAGCATTTGTAGTGTTGCTAAGGCGCACATACTTGGCAGTGCATGAAGTAGCTGCCGACGAGACTTTCAAGTCTGCTTTTCTTTAATAAGCAATAAGTCAAAGGATCTAAAAGGCAAATTAAAACTTTCCCTTTTGCCTGACTTCACTTCATGAAAGAAATACTATGTAGGCTATAGTGTTGCTTTAGCATCTGTATTATTTTGTCAAAATTGGGAATGTATTCTTCCATAATGGCAAGAACTGGTTTTAGGTGTATGAGTTTTAGAGTTGACTGGTTCACGCTGAGACGGCCACCTAGAATGTGTGGCATCAGAACTGTTTCCTGTTCCTTGGAGCTGCTTCCACAGCTGGTGGTACAGTGTTTGGATTCCATGGTTTCCACCCCCAGGGCCAAGGGTTCAGAGAGGGAGAAAAAAAGAATTGTTTCCTATCTGTAGATGAAAAACTTTGTAAGTTAATTTTTCCAGTGTTATTTTTAGATTTTAATTGTTTCTGATGATGTTCTCATTCTCTCCTTCATTTCTTTGTTTTGCTATGGTGGGAATTGAATCTGGGGACTCATGCGTGCTAGGCAGGCTCTCTATCTTTGAGTTCCATCCTCAGCTACTTCTCTCAGCCCCACCTCTTATTTAAATTAAATCTTGAGCCTGGATCCTCTGAATTGCTCAGGGTAGACTTTGCATTTGCTATTCTCTTGCCTCAGCCTACTAAGTATCTGGAACTACAGTCATGTGCCACCATGCCTGGCACAATGCCCCCCTTTTGTAATAAGAAATTCCAATGTTTTCTTTGTTATTTTTAAGTCTTTTTCCTTCCAGGTTAATTGAGGTGCGATTGACAAACTGTGCATTTAAGATATCCAATGTGATGTTCTGATGTTAGGAAATTACCACGTCAGGCAAAATAATGAATCTGACACTCACATGGATATTTCGTTGGTGTGACGAGAACTCGTGAACGCAGCTCTTACCAACATTTGCGTGTGCAGTAGACTGCCTCTAGCTTTACCCAGCCCCTTCGCATTGGAGATCCTGACCCTGCTGGAAATGAAAGCTTGCACACTTTGTCAGCCAGCGTGGCCCCTCTCCCCCAGCCCTCAGCTTGCAGCAACTTGTTACCCTGTTAATACGTGACTGGCTTCACTTTGTAGGTTGCATATATGACTGAGGCCATGTAACATTTGTCTTTCTGTGTCTGGCTTCTTTCACTTAGTGTTACAGTACCTGGCTTCAGCCATGTTTTATAAAAGGGAGGGTTTCCTTCTTTTTACAGCTAAATAGTATTCCTTTGCAGGTGTGTCACATTTTCTTTACCCATTTATTTGTTGACAGGCACTGGTATTTCTACATCTTGACTACTGTGAGCATTGTGAACATGGGAGCGTGAATATGTCTTTGGTTTGCTGATTTTATTTCCTTTGGCTCCATGTCTAGCAGTAGAATTGCTGCACTGCTTAGTAGTTCTGTTACTAAGTTTTTCTGAGGACACTGGTGTTTCCTGTAGTAGGAGGACTGATTTACATCCCTAACTGTGGGGTTGGTTGATGTTTCCTCCTCAGCACTGTCTCACCAACACTCATCTGTTGCATTTTTACAGGTAGCTATTCTAACTGTTGAGAAGTGATGATTCTTTGTGGGTTTGATGTACATTTTTCTGACAATTAGCAATGTTGAGTGAATTTTGTTTGGGTGTTGAAAACTTAGTTACTTACTTTATAAGTTCTTATGGGTACCAACTTAGGTGAGCATGGAGTGAGGGAATGTTTCATTGTTTATTTAAATAACTTAAAGATTGTTCGGAGTTTTGTTGCCTAACTACTTGGGTGTCTGGTTTTCAAGTAAGATTAATGATATCATGGAAAGAAATCTTACGACTTGTACTCTGAGTAACATTTTGGTCATTCTCTATATGAACCGTTGTTATTGTCTAATTAATTTGTTATGAAATTTTGTTTTACTTTTTCACAGAAGAGTGCTTTTTATATTTTATTAATATCTACTTATATTATGAATTTAAAAATTGAAATCCTAAATATTTTATGCATTTCTTCTTGGTTCGTGTCTTCTGTTACAAACCTCCTAAAATAATTTTGTAGGATATTCAAATTTGAACCACCAGAAAGGACTAGTTTTCCTTGGATACCACCGAGGGTATGGCAGAGGCACTGATTTTCCTCATGAAGTGTTAGCATGTAACTTTATGAGGGGGAAGTAAATTTTCAAAACATGAAAATTCTGAAGAAACACCATTTTCACAAGATAATTCAGGCCTTTCATCTAATTGGTATAATTATTTCCTTAGCACTTAGGCAGCTGCACTTGGGCTCTGGTGTCAGACTATCACACGCTTGCTTTTCCTGGGTCTGAGATTTGGGGTTACTGCTCACTGGGCCCGTCTGATACTGAGGTCGCCCCAGATCTGGTCTCGTGGCATCTGTTATGTCAAGTGATATGTATGATTTTATAGAACAGAAATGTAGCATAAGGTTAAATTATGATCATATTATGTAATTATGTTGTCTCTAGATAGTTGTAAGTGTAGCTATATAAATAGATAACCATGCTTGGTACCTAGCAGACCCAATATATTCATATATTCATTGCAAAAAAAAAAAATTGGTAGCTAGTAACAGATAGCCCGGATTCTCAGTAAGGAGACACTTGTCCCTACTGCAGGGCCTGTGGAGGAAGGAAGGCTCTGGTGCCCTTGGCTGCCTGGCACTGTGTCTGAGGTCTGCATTCTCCATCTTTGAGGGTGCCTACCCCAGGGTCTCTGGGGGCCTGTGGTCCAACCTGTGCTGTCTGACCAGAGAGCCCCAGACACTGCCACTGTGCATAAGAAAGCAGACAAGGCCTTTGTCTTCACTGTGGCTCCTTTTGAAAGCACGTATGACTGGGACCCTCCCAGGGGATGCTCCTTCCTGCCCTTGGAAATCTGAGGGAGAACGCTTGGCTCCTGGAGTTAGGAGTGCAGCTCTGCGGATCTCTGGGAGAATCACAGCTGCCACACTGAGTACTTTCGGGAGCTGCTGCTAAAGAGGGACCTGGTGGAGGCAAGCAGCAGATAGCTCAGGAGTTACGTGTGGCTTTTTAAATTGTAACCTTGAGAAAAAAAGATCAGTGCCTCAGTGTTTCTAAAGGCTAATGCGCAGACTAGTATTTTAAAGGTGTAACTTTCATTGTACAATTACTAGTTTTCAGGAAGTGGTATAGGGTTTTTTTAAATGGTAGTATAAAATAGTTTCTTTGTGAGAAAGAAACCATAAAAACATGTTCTCTTCCCCCATGCCCCAGACTGAGCTCTGATTGGGTTTTGCTGAGATGTTTGTTTGATGATAAACAGGTTTGGGAAAAACAGGTACTTCTTCAGATTGTACAGATGTCATCAGGCAGTTGATTCATCTTCGCTCTTGGCCTGAACTTTAACACAGGATGGCCCTTTCACTAAATTTGGTATGAATGAGACTGTGCCTGGAGGGATAGAAGCCAGTGAAGATTCTCAACCAGGGATTAGGCTGAAATCTGTTTAATAGGATAAGAACTGCAAAAACAAAATTCAGATTAAAACTTTTGCCAGAAGTAAGCACTATAGTTTGGGCAGAGGAAGTGTAATAAGTTTTCTGCCTTGGCCCCTGGATATCCAGTCGATGTGCATGTTTAATTGTGGGTTTGTCCCTGTGAACTGTGTATTCCCCCTGAGTCATCCGACTTTAATCACTTGATGTCTCTTCTGAGGCTACTCTGCTCTTTAGCTTTTGCCATTAAAAATATAGTAAGGAGGGTTGCATCCCACGGATCAAAGAATGCCCTGCGTGGTTACAAACAGTCGTCCCTCTGCCTTGCCAGTCTGGGCTCACCAGGGTAGAACCAGTGCGGATTGTGCCTGGGGTGCGGAGGTCAAGGAAGTTTCAGGTTTTATACCTTGCCAGTGGTTCTGTTTTTGCTCTGTTTCCTACCACAGTGTTTGTGGCTCATTATCTCTGCTTTTGAAGGCAATTATGACCACTTTGGCTTTGCCAGTGGGAATAAACAACAGAGATGTGAAGGACCAGAGAGTGCTGAGCTGGCAGGCAGCTCCAGGAAGCCAGGGGACTCCTGCTCCTTGAGTCCCATTGCTCCTGCGTAACGGGGTAGCGGAACTTCTTTGCCTGTCTGAAGTTGGTTTTACTTATGCAACAAAAAAGGTGGGCTGTCTTACTAGAACTCCATACAGGAAGCTCTGTTTTCCAGAAATGACCTTTCAGTGATGAACTGAAATTGCCCAGAGTAGCCTGTAGCCCAGTGCCCATCAGATTCATCTCAGGACCTAGAGGACTGTGTATCTTTCAAAGGACTTGCTTTTCTTATGTCAGTCCTGTGATTTTCTTTTTCTGAGAGAAAATGCAGAGGGTTTGAAGATGAAATGATTTATTGGGTTACTTTGAAAAAATTCTCATGCTTCTGATAGTTTGACTCTGAGACTCAGGAAACAGGAAAAAAGGCAACAAAATCTTTAGTTTTGATGTGAGGCAACATGTTAAGAAGTTCGCATTCCTTAGTTGGTTGCAGGGGTACACTCCTATAATCTCGTCTACTTGGGAGGCTGAGACAGGAGGATCGTATGTTAGAGGCTAGTTTGGACAATGGAATGAGATCCTGCCTTAAAATTAAAAAATTAAAAGGGTTCAGTGGCAGAGCACTGCTGGGTTTAGTCCCCAGTACTGGGGAAAAAAAAAATCGAATTCCTTCTAACCATTACCATTTTCTGATTCTGTCTGCGTAGACTGTAA